CAATGATCGAATATATCCATAATGACCTGGCTAATGACAGTGACTGCTTCAGGGGATAGTTGTTGTTGTGTTTGCCGTACGTGTGGCTCCGATATTCACAACTGTGTCAACCAGACTCGAATGCTTGTCTGCATAGAAAATTTGAACCGGTTTAAAAATTAGATATGTAGATGATTGCACTGGTTAGATGATTAGGAGATTATACATGTTACTACCATGTATCGTACTATAGTCATAATCCCACATTGTTTAGTAGCAAAATTGCAGTCAAATCCCACTTTTGACTCCAGTGATTGAGTCAGCAGTTTTTTATAGCTAGATAATTAAGTTAAAGCTCAAATAAACTTTCTTCAGTTCTCTGAAATTGTGTTATTTTTGCTATTTCTATTCTATAGAACTTCAACATGTTTAGTTACAATGATTACAATATACTATATATACATATACAAATATTGTTGTGACTGCGATGAACTGACGATGTAGAGCTTATGAGGAGGTAAAAGCGTTGCGTTTACCATGATGTAAAGCCTTACCTGTTTCATCTTTTCGCTCCCTTTTTACCGGGTCATTTTTCTTCGGCATCATTGTTTTTGTGTCCTCTTCCTCACTGTTCTTTCGGTCTAAAAAAGCGATTTGGATCGAGAAACGAGTTTGTTCCGTGAAAAGAATCTACAACAATTTGTCCCTAACAAGGACGTAAAATTTGACCTGACAAATTGACAAATGCATTCCTGCGTGCGCCGATTGGATTAGAATCAAGAACATGGGCATGTCGTCGTGCTTGTAATCGAATCTGAATAAACGATAGAATAGAACTCTTGTGGATAAAGTCCATTTTTTTGCAATATACCTGCTCCACAGGTAGGACTCTCCTTCGTTTCTTTGGAAGTTTGTCACGAGCTTGAGTGTGAGAGTAAAACATTGCGAAATTGGAAACGATTACCTGAAAATTGGATTTGGAGATAGAGAATAGGAAAAGCTATTGCGATTAGCTACTAATAATCATAAGAGAGATTCTGACATCATTTA